GAGTCCTCCCTGGCAGCACTTTCACCACCTCCCCCTCCTCCTCATTCTTCCCCGAGTCCTCCCTGGTAGCACTTTCACCACCTCCCTCCTCCTCATTCTTCCCCGAGTCCTCCCTGGTAGCACTTTCACTGCCTCCCCCTCCTCCTCATTCTTCCCCGAGTCCTCCCTGGTAGCACTTTCACCACCTCCCTCCTCCTCATTCTTCTCCAAGTCCTCCCTGGCAGCACTTTCACTGCCTCCCTCCTCCTCATTCTTCCCCCGAGTCCTCCCTGGCAGCACTTTCACCGCCTCCCTCCTCCTTATTCTTCCCCCGAGTCCTCCCTGGTAGCACTTTCACCGCCTCCCCCCTCCTCCTCATTCTTCCCCGAGTCCTCCCTGGCAGCACTTTCACCGCCTCCCACCACCGACGCCTGCCACATGCAACAGGGCGGCACACAGAGACCTGAACAAGTGCTGGGTGACACACGTCACTGGCCCAAAGAGGAGGAAGCAGGAGGCAGGCTGCAAAGGGAAGGAATAAGAGGTGGAAGGAGAAGGGCAGAAGGAGAGCGAGCGAAAGAAAGCAGGCGTGACACACAGAGCCAGCTCCCCACGAGGGTATGGTCACTGCTGCATGTGCACGGATGAAAAACTGTTTAAGCAGAAGGAATCTCTGGACCTGTACAAGCCCTGCCCAAGGCGAGGAGGAGGTCTGGTCAGTTACGCAGGGCCAACTTAAAAACAGGAAGAGAGCTGGTGCACGGCTCAGCAGGGAGCGGGGCCTGGCACTCGGGGGCCTTGGGGTGGGGCCTCAGCAGTGCAACACACACACACACACACACACACACACACACAGTCACAAAAAGAAAAAAACAAAAGAAGGATATTTCTCTTTCTCAGAAAGGATCACTTTTCCCATTTTCTTCACTATCCTCCAGGTTGCCGCATGGGCGTAACGGGCGTCTACTTTGTGTTGTTTTTGATGCTGTAGCTCCCGTTCTGTCACTACACCCCTGCACGCTCCAGCTCTCCGAGCTGTGGTGACACTGCTCATGGGAAGGCGCGTGGCCGAGCCAGCTATCGGAGGCTGATGCCGGAGAACCGTGAGTCTGAGGGTCGCCTGAGGTATCTACTAAAGCCACATCTCATAAAACGAAATAAAACAAAAAGAAACGAAACAAGAAAAAACCAAAGCAAGACTAAACTCCGCCCTGGGAGCTGGACGTGGTGCATACACCTCGGAATCCAGCTACGGGGCCAGTGGAGCGGGACGAGCTCGGGGCCCAGGCCGGGGCCGCGCAGCAGCACTCACTGGAACCAGTTGGTGAGGGTCATCATCATGTAGAGCGAGGCCAGCAGGAACACGGTGTGGAAGAAGGGGTAGCTGTACACCGTGCCCCTCTTCTCGTCGTAGAGCACGCGGCGCGGCGCCTTCCCTTCCGGCTGCTCCTCGGGGTCTGTGGGTCACAGAGCACAGGGGCAGTGTGCACGGGGCCCCTGCACGCTGGAAGGGGCAACCACACTGGCCGGCTGTGGAGCAGGGTGTAGAAGAGGGAGCGGGCGGCCCTGCGCACGGAGGCACCCGCCCTCGGTGCTGCCCCACGCCACCAGATGCAGGCGGACCCCGCACTCACCCTCGACGATGTCATTGCCGAAGCAGAAGCAGCAGCGGGCCACCTGCGAAGACAAAGGATGACTGGGACACCATGTGCTGTTCCTTCAGCTCACCCCAAGGTCTCACCACACCCGTACCTTCCCCAAGTGCACCATGGGGGCTCAGGGCACAGCAGGGCTGGCGGCCTCCCTGCCACCTGCCAGGCTCACCGGGCCTCCACGCTGCCACACTGCACTTCCTACTGAGTGACTGCAAGGACATCTGAGCTATGGAACCAGAGCCCAGTGGAGGGTGTGCGCTTGGCCCCCAGCTTCTTGGATACCTAGACCACAATCCCTCCTGCCCTGCCAGGATGTGACCTAGCCCTGGTATCACATACCTGAGACCTGCTGCCTCACTCAGTGGACCCTACTGAAGCCAAAGTCCCACCAAGAAAATATGCACCCTGTCCTTCCAGGGTAAGCCCTGGGGGGGCCACAATGTGTGAGGAGAGCTCAAAGCGACAGAACGACACACTCCCTCAGGTCCAACTCGGATGCTCGCTGCCTGGAGGCCTGATAGAGGGCACTTCAGGGTCACTGAGATCATGCTCCAGCCTGGCTGGTGGCCATAGGGAGGCAGGGGACAGATGCATGATGGGAGAGGCCACTCTCGCTGGACACTGGGCAGTGACCCACGCAAGGCCACAGCTTGCTCCTGTGAGTGACAGAGTGGGACAATGCCGCTGGGACAGGAGCCTTCACAAGGGCAATGGTCTCCTCTCACTGGCAGCGGAGTCAGGGGACACCCTAGGGCTCTGCACCCCAGAAAGCTGTGGGGGTGCAACTGGCGCCCAGTGCCAAGAAGGCCGGAGGCATGGACAGGAACACTGACTTGGGCCACCGCGTCACTGACGTTCTGGTCCCCATCTCTGCAGGAGTCCCAGCTTCTCCACTCTCCGGCTCATGGTACACAAAGCATGAGTGAAGTCACCGCAAAGCGTGCATCCACAGTCTGGATACAAGGAGGCAGGGCACTCTGGCCACCAGGCTCCGCCTCACCTTCCTGGGTCAGGTCAAGACTTTCCTAGCTGCTTCACCGGATGGGACCTTCGTGACGTTGGCTGATGACCCTCAGCCCCCACAAGATTTCCGCACAGTGGGAAGAGCAGGTGTTTTGCTGACCGGCAGGCATCTTCAGATGCCCTGGTTCTCTGGATTTGCAGGTGGAGGACCCAGTGCGGGAGCCAAAGTTCCCATCTATCATCACCATTATTAGTGGGTCTGGGGCTGAGCCCAAGGACCCCAGACTGAGCTGCATTTATTTATTTTTCGAGACAGGGTCTTGCTATGTCACTAAGTTGTCCAGGCTGGTCTCCAACTGGTCACCTTCCTGCCTCAGCCTCCTGGCTGGTGTGCACCTGACACCCAGCTGTCCACGAATCTTTACACGGGGCTGCACCACCTGAGGGAACAGGTGCAGGTGGGGATCTAACGTGCCCACGTGCCTGGAGCCTGCATCACTCCAGTGTCTCCCTGCGTGCGCCGTGTTGTTATAGACCACACTGCGGTGGGCATGGAGCAGATGTGTGGACACGGGCGCTGGTGAGAACACGGATGGGGTGTGGCGATGGCTCACACAGGCTGGGGCGGGCAACAGGACCCCGCAGGGACCGTGGGGCGGACCGGAAGCCGAGGCAACGCTGTTGGCTCATGCTAACCTATGCCACACACAGCACCATCTTCTTTTTCTCCACCCCAACCCTATGCTGCTTCAGCAGAAGCCCCGGCCGTGAAGGCAGATTCCCACAGACAGACATGGAGGCCACCTCAAAAGTGGGCAGCAAGAAGGCGTGCACTCACCTCCAGCTCCGGAGCTACGTAGCGACCCTGCAGGGCATCGGAGCTCGACCGCATCGTGGACGTCAGGCTAGAAAACAAACAGGAAGTCAGCAAGGCCATTGCCTTGTTCATCACCTTGTTCGTCACCTGGGACATGGGGCACAGACACCATAGCTCACGGGGGCCTGAATGAGCACCACGCCCTCCTGTCCGTATCTGCAGACTGAACCCTTGCGACTCAAAACTATCTACCAACAGACGAATGGGTAAAGAAAAGGGTATTTACGGCAACGGAGCACTACCCTGCCATGAAGAAGGACATCCTGGAGGCGCCTGCAGGAGAGTGGGTGCCTCCCAAGACCCTAACACTGCGCGGAATAAAGCAGACACAGGGCTGAGATGTGGCTTCAGCTCTTACACTAAAACACACAGTCTGTCTTACACGAGGAACCCAAACGGTGAATGACTTAAGGAGCAAGGTAACAGGAATCAGGAAATCGGGAAGGAAGGCAGATCTTCACGAGTAGGAAGGGGCCACGTGCTGGGGGAGGGAGCACAGGACTGGGGAACAGAGAAAGAATGACAACGTGCTACATGACCACCGGCTCCCCACAACACAAGAACGTTACGTACCGCAAAAACGGACTCAGCAAACTGTAAAACAGAGAAATTAAAAGAACTTGAAAAACACACCCAAGGGCCAGCCATGTAGCTCAGTGGATTAAGGCACCTGCAATCAGGCCGGGGGTTCAATCCCTGGGCCTGCGGTGCCAGCCCTGCCCCTGGGCGCGCTGAGACGGAGGCACCTGAGACTGGGCGTGGTGGTGCCCGCCTGTAATCCCTGATCTTGGGAGGCTGAAAACAGGAGAATCACTATGAGTCCGATCTAGCAGTGTGACCCTGAACACCCTGTAGGCCCTTTCCTAAAATACAAAAGAAAAAAGAAAAACACCCCCGGCCCCTGGCTGCGCCCACAGTCCTTGTTCCCTAAGCATGGTCTAAGGAGTATTTACATGGCACTCACACTGGGTCAGGAATCACACAATAAATAACCTGAAGGAAATCTAGCGCAGCGGAGGACCGAAGGCTCTGCCCACAGGACATGGAGTCTCGAGCACCCACTTGGCCTGCGCGGGCGGGAGGGCTCGGCCCCAACCTGCAGGCTGACCACAGCTTCCCAGCCCACCTCATCCCCACTGCCTGCCTGACCTCACAGACATCTTCTTGTGTGGGTTGTATGACATCGCTTTGTGTACAAAGAGGTTTGCAGGGAGAGAAGTAAGAGGTCTTGGTCCCCTCTCCGGGTTGTCAGCACTGCTTCTGGCCCCTCCACCCTAAGTGCTGGAGGGATGTCCTGAGTCCACGTCCATCCCTCCTGCCCTCTGAGCAGCCTCACTTAGCTGGGACAAAGGGCCATGAGGGCCCAGGGCGGGCAGCGAAACAGAAGCCCAGGGAGCACAACGGTCACGGTCGTCTGCTGTGACAGCCACCCGGACGGCAAAGCCCCCTGTGGACACGGGGCAGACGGGCTTCATGCAGCCAGCACATCCTGGCTCCGCTGTGCCCGTACAGGTGACATTGACCTCAGGTCGGGGTAAGTGAGGGCAAAGCACGTAAAGGAGGAACTGGGAGAGGCTGGCTTTGATTCTGCTGAGAAACTGAGGTCCGCTGCTCCTCCCATGGAGGGGCCAAGAGGCGACCTTCCTCTGTCCTGCGCGCCTGCCCCTCACGCATGCGCCCTTCTGCAGAAACGAACTAAACTCTGCCTTGTGGGACCGCTTGCCTCGTGGAGTGCAGTCCTCCCAGCACTGGCGCTTGGCATCTGGGAGCTTATTTCTAACACGATCACAGCGTATGGCGAGTGCTTAAATTCTAAAAACTTACTACAGTGAAAGACACATCGGCCCAAATCTCCTCCAAAACCCCTTCGCTGTGAACTCATCCCATCCTCACTGCTGGCTCCGGGGTCCCCTTTCCCGAGTGTCTCTACACAAACAGCGCGCGCTGCTGCCCAGCACTGTCCAGCGGAAAGGCAGGCTCAAGAAGACACGAGGCCCAGTCCTCAGCCACCTCAGGCCCAGGCCTGACTGCGAAGCCTCCGCCTCTTCCCCAGGTCAGAGTGACCATGAAAGAGAAACACTTTGAATGAATTCAGGACATCGAAGCAGCCAGGACAGCACAGCGAAAGGCCCTCCGGAGAGCGGCCTCAGGAGCTGCTGCAGGAAGTGGCCTGAACAATGGGATGGGTGTGCTCAAGGGGAGGGTATGACTGTGCAGGGGATTCTGGGCTGTGTGTCTTTTAGTGTAATAATTATTAAAAAAAAAAAAAAAAAACACAAAACTTTGAACATTCACCATATTTTTGGTGGATGCCACCCCTTCACCCAGAAGTCTGAGCACACCTATTTTTCCTAAAATAAAAAACATGAAAACTGAAATATCTGCAGCACTCAGAATTTCAGCTGCCGGCCCTGCCCCCAGGGCGCACTGAGATGGTGATGAGGCTGGGCGTGGTGTGCACGCCTGTAATCCCAGCTCTTGGGAGGCTGAAAACAGGAGACTCATGATGAGTCTGATCTATGTAGAGAGAGCGGTACTGTAGACCCAGTAAGGCCTTGTACCAAATATATTTAAAAAAAAAAAAAAATCCAGCTAACTCTACTGATCCACTCTGCAAATATTTGCAGAAAGCCCACCACTGGCCAGCTGGGCACTGTACACACAGACGTGTCTGCCAGAGAGGTCAGTTCTGACCCATACCGGCACCGGCACCCGCACCCGCGCCCGCACCCTCCGAGCTGGCCAGGGACGCGTGCACCAGGCCTCAGGAGCCTGGACACCACGGTACCGGGCATGGCGTCCACAGGGCCTGGCTTTGGGATGAGATTAACTCCTGCAATCTTCATCTGGACATGATCTGCACAGGACATGTTTCGCCCCGAGGTGTGAGCGCAGCCGAGCGCAGCCTCACCCCAAACCCACTCTCCCAGCGCCACAGTGCTTCTGCAGTGGGCATCGCAGGATCCTGCGTGGACAGCTCCGGCCCAGGCCCATCCATTGGGCAGCACGGTGCACGTGGCTGGAACAGCTCCGGGAACCCTGCGAGCCCTCTCTGGGCTAAGGAGCAGGAGGCACGAAGCCAGCGCCTCCTGTGGAATGGCACTAAGGCCCGGGGCCTGGTGCTGGCACATGGGATGTTTCCAACTAGCCTGCCTTCAGGCCCCTGCAGTCACACGGACACCCCAGAGGGACCTGCTGCAGTGACGGTGACGCTGGAACTCTCTGAAGAACCCTTCCCAGCCTGCTGCTGGGATCCCAGGTCCCGCCCTCCCTGCCCTGGCTGCAGCCCTGCGGCCCCAGCTCTCGTGTAAGGAGTGCTCTCTGGTCCCGCTGTCCTGCTCATCAGGGGACTCCTGGCTCCAGAAGGGAGCCCAGCGAGCTGGGGAGGGTGGCCACTCCGCCTTGGACGCAGAGGCAGGAAGACGTCTAGCAGGCACACAGGAGAAGAATAAAATCCCCTTGGCTTCCTCTCCACGACACACACCAGTCTCGGCCCAGACTCTGCGCCAGTACATCCCATGTCTGACTAGGAGGTTGCTCAACAGCTAATAAAAGATTCTCAGCTTCTCCAGTTTCATTTTCCAGGGAACTTTCCTAGATGGCTCCAGCACTAAAGTGTTATTTTTCCTCTGAAGTGTGACTAGAACTGAGAGCCAGGAAACATTTCACAACACTGCACATCTCCTGCTCCTCCGCACCGCTCCAGGGAGGGCTCCCAAGCCTGCACGGGGCAGGTGGCGGTGGCAGGCCAGCGCTGTGAGCTGCCAGGCGGGGCAGAGGGAGCGAGCCCAAGGAGGCCTTCCCAAACCGCGTGGAGAGCTCCTTGTAGAAGAGGCAGCTGAAGATACGGGGCATACTTAGATTTTCAAAAACTTACTATAGTAACAGACACATTCCCAAGAAAGTTGGGACAGCTGTGTTCAAAGTAAAAAGAGTATTCCAAATATCACAAAGGGGACTGGTGGCAACCAATGTCTTCTACGACTGCAATATATTTTTGAATTTAGCCAGGCACTGCACTTCTGATCCCCCCTTCACCCACCACCACTGCAATTTCTGCCACACAAAACTGCGCTGCTCTGACCTCACCCACCTCCTTCCCTGGACCTGGCTCCACGCAGCTTCTGGATCTTCTCTCAAGCCAAACGACCATAAGAGAAATGTTCTGAATCAACTCCGGACATCGAAGTGGCCGGGACAGCACTAAAGATGTCCAGGAGAGAGGGCGCCTGGACCTGCTGCAGAAAGCCGCAGAGAGGACGGGACGTGTGTCTAAAGCCAGGGGGAGAATGAGTTTGGAAGGGGTTCACAGGGATGTTCTTTTACTACAATGAATTCCTACAATGTAAACATTCACCATACCTCCTGGACGGCAGGGTCCTGTGTAGCCCAACAGCCTGAGCTTGAAGCCAACAGGGCAACACTGTGGAAGCCACAGTCCCCACAGCGCCGTGTCTTTAAAGCCACGCTGCAGCTCGGTGATGACTCTGCAGGGAGACACTGACTGGGAAGTCACAGCTCAGAAGCTCCAACACCAACACACTCATCACTGTATGACCTGACCACCTGGCACAGCTCAGGGACCACAGCCCCCTCTGTCCCTGCCAGGCGTAGAAAGCCCCCGGCATCCTCTCTCCTGAGCGTAGTCTCTTCTGTCCAAACAACTCAGCCACTTCTTATTGCATCATCCATCCAACCTCTTTTTCTTCTGAAGCCAGTGAGCCCTCACTGGGCCAACGCTGGCCCCTCAGCCTGAACTCACTTCCCCGTGACCTTGAAGCTGGGGCTGCAGGAGGTGATTATGGGGCACATGCATCCAGGCCCCAAGTCCAGGCAGGAAGACAAGCGCAGCCCCAGCATCTCCCCAGGAGCCTGCGTACACTCGGCTCCCTCATAAGGCCACCATCTTCTCCTCAGCTTTGGCCACTGCCACAGAACCCCTTAATTGCCAGCATTCGACACCACACCATACGTGGGCCTTGGACAGACTGTAACAGTGCTGACCGTGGAGAGCTCTCAGAGACTCAGACCAGCCCTTGCCAGCCTCCACTCGGAAAGAGGCAGCGCTTGTCTCACCCAGGACAGACTCATGGTGACCCTTCCCATGCTGGGCTGGTGGCCCCTGCCTGTGATCCCAGCACTCAGGAGGCTGAGGCAGGAGGAGTGCTGTGAGCTCAAGGTCACCCCGGGCTACACAGTGAGACCCTGTCTTCAAAAAAAGAACAGTTCTTCCCACTCACTAGAAACAGTGAAGATCAGCGACAATTCCATGCTTTAACCACTCCATGTCCAGCAATTCTACACAGCACACTTGGGCTCAGGTTGGACGTCTTTCCCACGGGATGGGCTTATACAAATCCACATCCCCTTTTGTCAAAGGAGCAACCTTCCTTTCCTATTCTATTGAGTACCCAGAAACCCATAGAAAACATGATTTTACTCCATCAAGTACCTTTCCATACATTTTCCTGATCATCCCAAGACAAGGAGGTATTCCATCATATAAAACATTTAAGAATCAAAGGAAGAGGGAAAAACACTCATCCAAGTGCCACTGTCACCAGACTGGCTGTTTCTCCTGAACATACACGTGTATGTAACTGCATTTTCTTCTCAAAGTAGAACAGAACAGCTCTATGTGTGCACTTGAGCAGCCTCTTCTGCCCCTTGATTTTCAAGTATTTTTCATGCACTATGAAAATCACCTAAGTGGGGGTCGCCGGGGAGCCCGTGACACTGCCAGAGCGCGAGCGCAGCAGCAGGACCTGGCATGAAAGGCTGGGAACACGGAGCGCAGTGGAGGGTCCTGTAGGACGCTACACCTGTGATGCGCAGAGCCCCCGGGGCTGCCAATCAGACCGCAGTGGGAGGGCTGCTCCGACTGCTTCACAGGTAGCAGTGCTCAGTGAGGAAGTCATGGAATAACAACAGAGGCCAGACAGGGCCACGTGGTCCCTTCTGCTGTGACCAGGAGACTTGGGATCACTGCCAGCCAGCTGCGGTTTCCCTCCTGCCAGCCTGGCAGGTAGCGCTAGGCACGTCTACACTTGGGGGCGCAGGTCCCGGGCACCCCGCATCACAGCGCCTTGCTGTGGGTGGAAAGGCGGCCCATGACAGGTGCTGTCCCCACAGATGCTGCGTTCCAGCAGCAGGAGGACAGCAACGTGTCTAGGGCAGGTCGTGCTCCTCACGTCCTGAAACGCAACAGTAAAACGTGCCAGGGAAGCCTACCACTGAAGTACTGCTTACGCAGCAGCTCGTGAAGTGTGCTTCCAGGCAGGAGCTGGCCGTGTCTGTTCTCCCAGTCTTTCTCCAGCAGCTCTGAAACCTTTGCACACAAAGCAGCCTCCCCAGCTCCCGGCACTGCCCCCAGGCTCCTGTTGGGCCAGCGCTCTGGTGTCACAGAAGCCACGACTGCAGGGCCTGGCGAGGCCGGCGCTCTGGTGCCCCAGCTCCTCACTGCTTTAGAGCTAAGAGGCTGCAGCCCTCAGAGCCCCTGAGGCTGGGCCAGGCCTGCAGGGTGCACAGCCCCTGCCCTGCCGGCCACCACTGCTCCCCCAGCCGTGCTTGCTGAGCCCCTGGCAGCACAAAAGCGCATCTCCTTGCACCCTCCAGGCTCGTTCTGGTGCAGGGGACTCACCAGGAATACAGGATGCAGATGATCAGCAGCACAAGGCCCAGCCAGGTCACCAGGCTCTCGTCGCGGTTCAGGTCCTGGCTGAAGTGCGGCACGCAGATCGTCACGTTCTTCCCATGCTCATCCAGGACTTGGCAGAGAACAAACCATCACAGTCCTGTTAGGCCCCTGGGGTCCCCGGGGCGCTGATGGGGGAATTTGGAGCCACAAGGTCCCTTACAACGTCGGATAGCACCCAAGGAGACCAGTCCACACTGTGCGCAGCTATGAGACCAAGTTCTGCAGTATCAAAGCACCTTTCCCATGCTGGCACACGCTGGGAATAAGATCCTCAGTGAGAAAACATAAAAGAGAAGACACGGTGCACGCCTGTGATCGGAGCACTTGGGAGGCTGAGGCAGGAGAATCACCGTAAGTCTCAGGGCCAGCCTGCCTGGGCAATACTGGTGAACACCCCATCTCAGAAAAAAAAAAAAAAAAGAGCCTCATCTTGCAAGTTAGGGCTAAGGTGTGACAATTCTAGGAGTTCTTTTTCAGGGTTATTCAAACAACGCTAAAAACAACTGTTAGGTCCATGTTTTGCTGGAATTGGCTGCCTCTGCAGAGAGGGACAGGCTGAGGGGACACTAGCATGGCGAGTCAGGTCAGCACTGTACAGAGGATAGGTGTGGCTTCTCCTAACCCAGGCGAGAAGTTGGTTTGCTGGAGCGGACCTACTTGACTACACCCAGGAGCTCCTGATGTGTTTTACGTATTTTGAGAAGGCTGCATGTGAAGATCTCTACAGTGTTGTACTACTTATATTGTGTTATAATGTGTAGTGAAATGCCCACAATATACCATCAGTGGGAATTTACTTTATGTCTACAACGGTGTCTTCAATTTTGAACCCAAATTAAGTCAGATTGACAACTTGGTCCCAAAATAAGCAACATAAATGTAAAATAACACTCTAAAAACCATTCAACAAACACAGACATTGTCTAAAAATGAAACTAAAATTATTACCAGTATTCACATGCCAAGCAGTAAACACAACTGTATGTTGTGGTTTTAAAAAAGTAATCTTTGTTCTTAGGCCAAATGAAAAAACTTTCAGAAAAATGAACACAGTGCGACTTTTCTATTTAAGTAGCACCAGCTGAACTAAAAATCAAAGTGCTTCCTATTTTAAGTGATACTTGCTATTAAAAATATATATATACTATAAATAAAAACCCATTACGTTAAAACCACAGACTAATATATAAGCGTAAAAGAAAGTCTTAAAGAGGTTGGATTTAAATAAATAGAAAGTCAAGATACAGCTATTTTTAAAAAATTAAGTCCAGGACAAGCTATACTTACTACAAACCTCCAAAAGTTCTATCCCTCCCCTTTACAGCCAGCCACTGCAACACGAGCCAGCCACACACACCTAGACGCGCATGCCCAGGAGCCCAGCTCTGCGTGAGGCTGAGGCGGGAGAGTCGCAAGTCCAAAGCAGCCCAGGCAGCTCAAGACCTTCCTTGTCGCAAGATCAAAAATAAAAAGGCCTGGGATGTAGTCAGTGTGAAAAGCCTGGGTCCCGATCCCCAGTTCTGGGGAGAAAGATGGCAACTCCCATAAATAGTATGAGTACAAGCTAAACCTTCAGAAAATTTTCTGAGGTGGGGCCTCACTCTAGACTCAGGATGGCTTGGACTCACCGTGAAGCCCAGGCTGACCTCAGACTCAGAAATCTTCCTGCTTCAAAAACCTCCAAAACAGGGCTGGTGAGATGGCTCAGTGGTCTAAAGCACCTACTTAGAACAAGCTTAGCAAAGCAGAAGGACCGCGGTTCAATCCCCCAGCACCACATGCCAGCCCCGCCCCCTGGTGGGCTCAGCTGGCCACACACACACACACACAAATAAAATTTTAAAAAATTTATTTATTTATTTATTTGGGTTTTTTTTTAATTTTATTTATTTATTTGTGTGTGTGTGTGTGTGTGTGTGGCCAGCTCAGCCCACCAGGGGGCGGGCTGGCTGGCATGTGGTGCTGGGGGATTGAACTGCGGTCCCTGTGCTTTGCCAAGCTTGTTCTAAGTAGGTGCTTTAGACCACTGAGCCATCTCACCAGCCCAATTTTAAAAAATTAAAAAAAAAAAAACCTCCAAAATGATCATTACACGTAGTTCCTAAATGTGAACAACTTCCCTTTTCTACTCTAAAGACACATCACTTGACTTACACAAGATCCAGCAGTCCCGAGTGTATACACTGTCACACTTCCTTGCGGGCATGCGCACAAGTGCACACATATAGGGTACAAAAGCAGTGTGAGTGAAGAGAATGAGTTAGAAATCAAAAAGATTTTTCTCCTCTTACACTGGCAAACCCCAGGGGCTCAGAAAAGCGCTTGGAATACAATCGTGCTGCTACAACAAGTGTACAGCAAGATCAGCTAAACCCGACAGAGCAGCCACCCTGGGCAGGGAACCGCGCTAAGGAGCAATACGCACAGGGATCGGGCCTTCCAGCTGGCATGTGGTGCACACCAGTAACCCGAACACACGGGAGGCTGCGGCAGGGAGACCGCTGGGAGCTTGAGGCAAGCCTGGGCTACATACTGAGTTCCGGACAGCCTACACTTACATAGTAAGACCCTATGGATGGATGGATGGATGGATGGATGGATGGATGGATGGATGGATGGATGGAAAAAGGGAGGGGGGGACGAAGGGATGGAGAGAGAGGAAGGGAGGGAGGGATGGAGGTAGCGACCGAGGGATAGATGGACAAACAGATCCACTCTGAAGGCCCAGGCAGTCTGGCTCCAAAGTCACATTCTAACCACTGTGTTCACCATTTCTGTAAGTAAATGTCACCTCAGATGGGTATCTAGGGGTTACCCTGCCAGCGAGAGCTGGGTCTGGCCTTTGGCTCCTGCCTGCTGTCTGCTGCTTCCCTGTCCCTTGTGTTCTTTCTACTTTCTCTACTACACCAGAGAAATGATCTAGGGAAAAAAATCAGTAACCAACTGAAACCCAGCGCAGAACAAGCCCAGCCCCAAGAGCTGCTGTCGCGGCAGCCCCACCCGCGCCTCCACCTCCGACTGGCTGACCCTCATCTCCGCCCCAGATGCCCTGCCAGATGCCAACGTCCCACCGCCCACCGTGCTGCTCACCTACATCCGGGGGCTTGCTGGACAGCGCTGAGAGGGTCAGGTAGGCCACATAGCAGCTGATGAGCCCGGACTGCAGCAGCCCTGAGTGCGGCTGTCCTAGAAGACACAAGGACAGAGGTCAGCTCCCTGGTAGGTCAGCACAAGCCTCAGAAAACATGCCCTCCCACACCCCGCCACAACCACAGCACTATACGTGGGCACGTTCTCAGGAGAGAAAGGAGCTGGGTGATGAGTTTCTAAATAAAACTAAAACCGAGGGCCAGGGAGATGGCTCAGTAGAATAAGCACTTCACTGGCAAGCACAAGGGTCTGAGTTCAATCCCTGATTCTGCAAAAAAAAAAAAAGTGAGGGGGCAGGAGTCAGACACTAGCTGATACTGCTATTGTTTTGGTTTGGTTGAGACAAAGTCTTGCTACGTAGCCCAGGCTGGCCTTAAAGCTGTGGCAATCCTCCTGCCTCAGCCTCCCACAGCACCAGGATTATGGGTATCTACCACCAAGTCTGGCTATATTCTACTACCTTAGAGATGCCACCCTCTGCCAGCTTGTCCACCAGTGCCATGTCAGACTGCAGCTATACTTGGAAGCTCCTGAGTTTCACAACATCTGTGCTTAAGTCACAAGGTCTGCAAACATTGGCCCTCATTTTTTCATGAGGCCTCGTGGTGTATTAGATAAATGAGGAGAGGGACGGACTGCACAGGGCTTGCTGTCTGACTTCCACAAGCACCGGGACACTTACAGTCCACGGTGGCACACACACGCCACCACCTATCAACAGGCAAGGCCACCTCGGTCTCGGAGCTGGTCCAGGCTAAAGGGCGCAGTTCCAGGGCTCGGGACTCAGTGGGAAAGGGCTTTAATTTCACAATACCTGAGTTAAACGCACTGCTGCAATCACTCAGAGGCTCCTGGACTTGAGAGATCAATTTTTTTTTTCCTAGTTGAGACAGGGTTTCGCTATGTTAATCAGGCTGCCTTGAACTCACCATGTAGCTTAGGCTGGCCTTGAGCTCCTGGCGATCCTCCTGTCACAGCCTCCCGAGTGCTGGGATTACAGGCGCGTGCCACCACGCCCGGCTTGGTGAAACTTGTAGCCACATGATCAACTACATGAAAGGATTCAGTTTTCCCTCCTGGTTAATTTGTTTCCAAAATTATCATTATTAAATTATAGTCCCCCATGAAAGTCTATGAATAGACGCTTTTATCACACTGCTCTTCCACTCCAAAGTGAGACTCACCTTAGCACCTAAGGGCATTGCACCCAACATTTAAAGCATCTTGCTCATTTCTACAAGCAGGACCAGGTGCAGAGGAGGCTTAACCTGAACACTACCAGTGTTTCAGGCAACTGCTCCGTGACCAGCTGAAGGGGTGGGAGAGTCCCATCTCAGTTTCCACAACACTAGTTCTGGGTGGGGACCCGTCTGGGCATTCAGGACAGGGCTGCACTTCTCTGCCTGCCTCCCGCCAGCGGCTGGCACCGCTGGGGTATGCATGTGGCTGTCGTGAGCAGTGTGGGACAGCCCCCTCTCGAGAATCGTTAACTCAGTGAGTCAAAACCCTTCGAGGGGCTCCGCACGCACTCCGTGCTCCTCTTTCCCTGCCACACCAGGGAACGGCCTGCAGATCAGAACCCACCAGGCACACTGAGGGCTGTGACAGCGGAGGTCACCTGTGAGGGACTCAGATACCAGGATCTACTCCTTCCTGGCTTTGGACCACCACACTGGAGACTGGTGAGGCTAGCGTGCACCCAGGCAGAAGCCAGGTCTTGTGGGCGCGGCTGCTGCAGGCTGTACTTCCCGCTTCCAGCTGCCTGGGCCACACTGCTGTCCCAACACTCGGTCCCATCCCTGGGTGAAAGCTGCCCAGCCACAGCCCCTCCTGCAGCACTGAACATTCCTGTCTGCCTGCTAGTATTGGCTCTGTCCAGTGCAGATCCTTCTGGCCCTTGGGCCAGTGTGACTGTCATCTCCAGCCCAGCCAGGGACAGGAAGCCCTGCCCCCTCTGAACCATCACCCGTGGCAGTCCCGTATGACTAAGCACAAGTGCGCAGGAGGAGACCAGGGCTTACGGTTCTGGACGCAGGGGGAGATGGCGACCAGGGAGATGAGCAGGCACAGGCCTCCGTTCACGCCCAGGAAGATCTTGTTCTGTGTGCAGCCCTCGAGCTGGGTGTAGAACACGGCCATCAGTACCAGGCCTCCAGTGGCGATGGAGTACATGACCAGGGTGACCAGCGACAGGGCCGCGTACCACAGCTTGTTGGTGGCTGTGCCAGCTGTCCTGTTTCCCCAGGTGGTGGTGGTGGTGGTGGTGGTGGTGGAGGAGGAGGTGGAAGAGGAGGAGGAGGAGGAGGAGGAGGAAGAGGAAGGGAGGGAGGGAGGGGGGAGAGAGAGAGAGAAGAGAGAGAAGAGAGAGAGAGAGAGAGAGAGAGAGAGAGAGAGAGAGAGAGAGAGAGAGAGAGAGAGAGAGAGAGAACAAGGACTGGTCAGGGCCACCCTGACCTCTAGCCTTGGCCCTGCCAGCAAGGGTCAGGCTCTGCGACAGTGAGCACAGCCTGTATGCCTTCCAGCTTCCTGGCTCGAGTTCAGGCTTGGCGGAGAGAATTCATTTTCCAGACTCAAGTACCCCCAGCCAAGATAGATGCCACCCTGAGCTCCATCCTAGCTCTGTGACGGGCTCCCCACGCTGGGACGGGGCTGGCATGACAAAGGTGACACCAGGGGCCTGCAGCACATGGAGCCCAGAGGGGTCCATCCTCCCTGCATAGCAGGGCCACTGTCCCATCCTGGGCAGAGAAGCAAGAACTTGTTCTGGGCACAGCCAGTGCCTGCACATCCCTCCCCTGAACTCGGAGGAGCCCCGCTTCTCCTGAGTAATACCAGGAAATCTTTTCTGGGGTTTTTGTTGTTGCTGTTGTTGTTGTTGCTGTTCTGTTTTGAGATGGGTTCACACTGTATAGTTCAGACTGGCTTTGAACTCACTATGGAGCCCAGGCTGGTACACGCACTCAGCCACATTGCCAGCTGTCTTTTAAAAAAAAATTTTTTTTTTTTTTAAATTTTGAGACAGGGTCTTCTTAAGTCACTAACTGACCAGGGTGGATGCAAAATTTGGTCTGCTGCCTCCGCCTCCCAGAGTACTGAGACTGCGGACGGACGAGGGCTGCCACCCCCAGCTAAGGGCTCACACTTTGAGGGTCAGTAGGGGTGGCTTTCCATGCTACAACAGATTGGCCGAGCGGATCATTCTTTTCCTCTGTGAGAAGGTAAAATGAAACAAAGAATAAATAAATTAAAAGGGAGAGAGCTGCTCCATTTCATAATCTCTTTGTTGTTGCTGCTGTTTCCTGCACAGTATTAGGGACTGAACCCAGGACCTTGCACATGCTAAGCAAGTGCTCTACCACAGAGCTACGCTCCCTATTTTTCTTTTCAGTTTTATTTTGAGACAGGCTCTCTTTCAGTTGCTCACACTAGACTTGAATTCAAGATCCTCCTGCCTCTGCCTCCGGAGCTAGGATTACAGACACGCACACCATGCCCAGCTCTACCTCACACTCATACAAATCTCCAGTTCCAGAGTGTTTTGCTTCACGTTTGACCCCCTCGGGATGGGGCAGCCCACAGAGCAGCCCGCACGCGCCCTGCGCCCAGCCGCCCGCAGAAGGCACCTACCAGTTCTTGTTCCACTTGTGGGCGAACTCCACCATGAGCAACAGCTGGATGACTATGAAGAGGAAGCCTCCGACGGCCCCCACGTAGCGCCAGGCTGCAGGGACGGGCGAGAGGAGTGGCACGCAGGGGCACAGGAGAGGGGCCACGTCACTGCTGACCCCAGCCTCCAGCTCCCCAGCGCGAGGGGCGCTGCGCACCAGCAGAAGCCCAGTCTGAGGCTATCCAAGGCATGCCTAGGAGTCCAGCCTAGGCCATCTGGCTTGGAGCGCCCAGGCTGACCATGCTTCCCCAACTTCTTAGGAGAGTGAGCCCACCAGCACTGAACAGAAGGCTGGTCCAGGGCAGCCGGGGAAGCCAGGCCTGAGCCACACCACGTGGGCAGCACCTGCACCCCAGCCCCCACGTGTGTCCTGGACACAGGAACTCAGGGTCCTTCTCCTGCTTAGCTCACTGGAGAAAGGGAGCCCTGCGCCAGCTAGCCCCGAGGGCCTGGTGGGGAAGGAAAGCTGCTGGCTGCCAGTGACAGAGGCTACGGAGCAGTCCAAGCCCCACAGCTCCATGGAAAGCAGCCAAGGACAGCCGGGAGCTCTGCGGGGCTCAGAAGAGCCGGGCCTGCCTGGGCTGAGGCCTCCTTCCCCGGCCAAATGGGCTTAGCAACAACTGCTGGGTGCACCCTCCCCTTGGCCCAGTGACCTAGAGAGGCCCCTCTGCTCCTGGGCACAGGGATGGCACCTTGTGGGCGGAGGAGGGAGATGCAGGGTTCTTATAAGATTAGTCAGTCAAGATCCCAAAGATGGCCTGGACTCAGCCTCTGCACAACGTCCCAAATGGTAAGAACGAAACACACAGGTCTCTGAGGGCCTTGGCCGTGCGTACCTTCCAGAAAGGACTCCTGGTCCGGAATGAAGAAGGCCCCGGAGCACATGGCCCCCAGCAGCAGCAGCTTGAAGAACCAGAAGCTGGAGAAGGAAGACCCCCAGGAGGAGATGAGAATGAGCAGCCTCCCTCGGGGGGAGACCTCTTGGCAGGCCCAAATGCGGGTGGGGGTGACTCAGCGACCAGAGACCCCAGTGACACTCGGCACCCACCTCCCTCCCCCATTGCGCAAAACACCACTGCCGTAGGAGGCCGCGCTCCGGGACATGAATCTGTCTCCACCCAAGAACGGCGCTGCAGGTCCCGCCCCGAGTGCTGACCACCTCCTCACATGGCGCCCAGGGCTCCAACTCAGGCAGGGACACAGGGACGCACCCGTTGTGGATGTGCGCGCGACAGCCCTTGCTCGTGTTGATGCCCAGGGTGAGCAGGCAGAAGACGAAGAAGAAGCAGGCCATGCCGAAGCAGACGCGGTACACCGCAGAATAGCCCACCAGCTTCTCGCACGTGTCGCCCGCCTTGATGCCCTTACAGATGTCCTCGAAAAACGGAATCTGTGGAGAAAGCAGGCAGGAAGCGTGTTGAACAGAATGCTTCAGACACAGCTGAAAGAACACACGGTGCCTGCGTCCGGCCGACCCAAAGTGCAAGTCAAAGAGCCAAACAGAAGACAGATAACAGGACGCAGGGACCTTGGCAAAAGGCAGGGGAGGGCGTGGCTGGGCGACAAGAAGCCGAGGGTGAGGGGATCGACACGTGGGGCACTACGCACTCCAAATGTGTACTAATGAAAGTTAAGATTGAAAAATAAAATAACTAAAAATTTGTTTTAAAAAACAAGCCACAGACTTGACAATATCTGCAAATCATATATTTGGTAAGGTACTGGTACCAACCTTTAAACCACTTTTATAACTTTCAGGAGGTCTAGATCAACAGGGGCTGCTCTCCAGCCCCAAGTCAAAAGCTGCCTTAGAAATAGACCAGCCTTTGCAACGTCACCCTCTGAACATGCTCCGCTTCCCAGCTCCCCCTCCCACTCACCCCGTGTTCAGCCACAGAATTTTCACTATGTTTGTAATGCATGGGCGGATTTTTCTAGAAATGCCTGAGTAGCTGAGAAATCCAGACCTGTCTTCAGTACCCCCAGATGTCATGCCCCCTTTGGGAGTGTCAACAACTGCGCAGGTGGGAGATTTTCATTACTTCACTTAACACACATACAGTCACACGCACAGCACACATGCACACCCAGCTTCTGCAGAAGATCTGGGCGGGGGCAGCTCCGTGGCAGGGTAAGTGCCCAGCCTGTGTGAGGCCTCAGCCGAATCCCCAGCACCCCCAACAGCTCACTAAAATAAAAGACTGTAAGTATTACTTCATGCATTGCTTCTACAAGTTCACAGCATGCCAGGGAGACCTGCTCGGTAGCACACACAACCCTACCCTGCCTGGATCACCATGCGGTACTTCATGATAAAGTGAGACTCAACCACATTGACTATTTTTGCGTTATTTTGTTTAGTGGTTGCCCTTTGCCAGCAGCATACACAGCAGCTCACCGACACGCAAGTGTAGATGCTAAACCCGGAATTAATGGGCGTGTTCTGTTTCAAAATTTGAAGAAATCAAGTGCAATCATGCCTGAGGCTGCTCCGCTTTCCTGCCTCTGGGAGGAGCAGAGCTGCGCCAGGGTGCCCCCACGAGCCTCCCAGCAGCGTCACTCCAGGGTTGTCACCTTGCACACATCAGGGTTAGAACCTTCCCCAAGTTCCTGGCCACTTTCATCCTTCCCGAGTAGCCTGTTAATCTGGCTTTTCTTGACCCGCTGGGCTCTTAATCTTTATATCTGATAAACATTCGCAAGAGTTTGTCCTCATCCAATGAGACAAAGTTTCAACGCTAAATCTATTCTCACTGTCAAAATAAACAGCATGTCCCACAAGGAGACTAAGGAGCGCGTCTCAATTAGCATCATAAATTAAGGATGTAGCCTGCGTAAAGCAAAACCCTGAGCTTCCAGCACACAGCTGAACACGGTTCAGAGTAGAAAGCAAGCTACAAATCACGTTACAGCTATCACTGAAAGCAATCAGTTATTAAAAGCTAGAGACAAAACAGAAGCACAACAAAGCAAATTAACCTCATATCCTAAAGTGTGCTAGGCTACCGGGCTCCCATAAGCAGCCACAGCAAGGGCTGCACCACCGCCAAGTGGGCCCAGGCTTCGCTGGTGTCGCTCTTTGCCCAGGTCTCCGCTGATGACCACGCCTGTGTCGGAAATGCTTTCCACATGTGCCCAAGCACATGGCTTGGACACACACACAGGTTTTTGAAGCCCACGTTTCCACTAACAGACATGAAGGGCTTCATGCAGAAACCCAGATGTCTCGCTTGCACACGTTCCTGAAAGCAGCTGTTTTCCACCAGCGGAGGATGCAGCACGTGGAGGAATGCCCTCAGCCAGTCCGTGTGGCCAGCTGCCCGCCACGCCAGCTCAGACACGCTGCTCTGCTGTCTGTCAAGATGTTACTCAGGCAAACTGCAGACCGGAAATCCCCGTAAAACCTGTCTTTTGTAAAACTTGGCTTGCGTGTGTCTCCCAGCAGCAGGCGCAAAGCAGAGGCCTCCTCCAAAGACCCCGGGCAGCCTCGCAAACTCTCCTCACAGAAGATGGGGACTGGACAGTGGCCCAGGCCAGGAACCACAGCGGGCTCTCTGGTCCTCGGCCACCCGGCTGCGGAGCTCTGCTGGGTCCGCCATGAGACACAGTCCTAGTACAGCAGCACTACTGCTTGGGGAGAAGGGGTGCAGCCCAGCAGCAGACCAGACAGAGGTGAGGATGTTGTGGAAAAGGCAAGACTATCCGACAGAAGACACGCAGCACCGAGGTACGGAGACGGCGACAGCTTTGTGCTGGCTGGCTGGGGAAAAACTCACCAGTGCTGGCTAACAGTAGACCAGCAACTTATATACTTTTTGTAAGGAGGCAGCACAGGGTCGATAATGGGTTGGCTTATAATTGTTTGCATACACAGGTTAGTCTGCACCTGGCTACATGCATGTGGTCACACGTAGTCAGGCAGAGGTGTCTGGGTAGGTTTAACTGGAGGGGGGCCGTTTATCACGAGGTAGGAAGGTGGGGGCAGAGGCCGGGCAAGCAGACAAGATTTAGTGCGACCCTGACAGGACTGGTCTGTCTCGGGCAGATAGTCCTTGAAACAGTTCAGAAAAGCAAATATTCGTGCAGAGCACTGTGCGGTTGGCCAGACCGACCTGAGGCAATCATCTCGGAGCCGTAACTGCCGTGCCTGCTTCCTCGTGAAGCTATAGTCTTTAAGAAACGCTTATTACAGTTTATTTTCCACTACAAGGACAGGACAGGGCTCTGCTTTTCAGCACCCAGGGTTTTAGGACCCTTGGGTATGGCTCTGGGGCCCCAAGGAGGGTGTGAGGTCAGCATGAAGTCAGGACAGAAGGCCCCAGAGCCACACAGAAGGACTGGACACAAAGGCAGGAAGCCCTCCGAGCAGGGAAGGGAGCCCCAGAGATGCTTCCGGGAGCCGCGTGCACGCTCAGCCTGTGCCAATGTGAAAGTGGGCACTTTCGGAATGTGTGCAAGCAAGATGTCTGGTGCAGCTGCTCAAGGTGCTCCACGCGTGCTAGTGGAGACGGACCTGCGCCACCCTTTCTGCACAGCAGGTGGGGCCGTTAGGCTCCTTGCTCCCAGCGGACCCCGCTGGTCCGCTCTGCCCACTGGGAGGGCAGCTGCTGAACAGTTTATAAGGGAATGGATGTGCTACAGGGCACATAATGCACAGGATTTTACAGTAGTCACCCAAAGAGTGAAGCACGAAAGAGTGTGGGAGATCTGTGCACACACTAGAGACCCAGGAAAGCCAGCTGAGGGCCGGGTCCCAGGCAACGTCCTGCACGAGTCCAGCAATAAGGCCCATGGCAATGCCCCTCCGCCAATGAGTCTTTTTCGAGGATCTGCACTGGGAAGATCCAAAGGTCATTGGTACAAGTTAGAAAGTCTGTGCCAGTGGAGTGAACGGTCTGTGCCAGCACGGGGGGTCTGCACTGGAGCCAGGGAGCCACGTTCAGAGTAAGAACCAGAGCTCCCCTGAAAAGAACTGCAGCCACACTCAGTGACAGCAAGGACTCGCGCTCCTCCCACGATGAGAACAGCTGAGTTCATGTCACGAAAATCTGCACAACAAGCTCTTCCAGGAGCCCCAATGGCGCACCCTCCCCCTCCAGTTCTCCTTTCCTGCTGCTCCCAACGACCCTCAGTAGCCCTCCATGCCCAGCACCACACTGACCCAGTTCAGCTGGGTGTAACAAGCTGACCATTCATTAATCTGCCACAGTGCCCACCGCCTGGGCACTGTGTACCTCAGACAAAGACAAGCGCGCACACACCCGCCTCAGCACCGCCAGGCCTCCATCGGCCCTGCGGCGGCTTGGCACACTGAGCCTCAGTACGTGGGGGGTATTTTTAGGCAAAGAGCCTCCAGGTTGGACAAGCAGCAGGATCTCAACAAGAGGAATTTGCTCTGATCAAATATTTGCTGTTCTGACTCCAGCCTGGCTTTGGAAAAACTAGACATCACCCAAGACGCCCTCCACTCAGCAAGGGTGTGACCTCTCCAGCCTGCCGGGCACCAGAGGCCACGGCAGGGTCGGCTCCTACTCAGCCCCAGCTGCTTCTGGGGGCACAGGGAGGGGGCCCGCCGCCCTCCGACGGCCATCAAGGAGGACGCAACAGCTGACAGAAGTGTCTCTACCGAGTGGCGAGGCCTCCTCTTGCACACCACAAAAATCTCACCTGGGGTTGCCAAGAACCACAGCAGACAAGCCCTATGAAATCTCAGCACGGCTCCTACCCTCATCCTCCTAGGCCCTCACCCTCCGGCATGTCTACTTCCAGAGAGGAGGCGTGCTGCATAGGCCACGATGGGGGCACTCGGCTCCAAACACGGGGACACCGGGGCTCTTAGGGGTTAGCGGTGCTCAATTCCCTTGGTCAAAGGATGGATTTGCTCTGGGTTAACTGGCCACATGACAAATCCTGTCCTGGCATGGTTCTTCAAGAAGAGAAGTCTGAAAAACCGCCCTGCCTATTCCACGAGCTCTTGTACTGACCCAGACAGCCCCAGCGGAAAGGTCTGAGCTCAGGACCCAGGAAAATACTTCTTAAAAGGAACGCAAGCAAATAAGCTTGAGGGAAGAGCCGGAAGATGGCCCACCTCCTTCTCCCTGAAGGAACAGATGCCAATGACATAACCCAACCCCAATCTCAGGCAGTTAGCAGTGACCAGCAGGGAAAGAGCTGCAGAAAGTCCCGCATGCTCCGCTGAGCCCTAGGCAGCAACCAGCGAGACTCAAGGAGAAGAGAGAGCCTGTGGAGCCAGCTCAGCACGCTCACACTCACCAGGCCAGACTTCCGGGCACCTCAGGAGATGCAGCTGCTGGGCGGCTGGCACAGGCAGGAAACTCTGAGGAGACTCTGAGGAGACCCGCGGGGGCTGTGTGATCGCATAGCCCCAAGGAAGCATTTCTGCCGGTGCACACCCAACACCCAGGCCACTCTGCTCCTCCCAGGCCAGCTGTGTCCTCCTGTCACCCACCAGTGTCCCACCGCAGGGACCCAGTGAAGCACAAGCCCAGCACCAGGACCATCAGCGTCACTTCAGTGCTGGCTTCCGCAGCTGCACAGGAGGCTGCACTGTGAGGGTAGTGGCCGTTAGTCCAACGAAGCAGCAGCCCATTCCGGTCACACTCCTGCCTCGGGGGTAGGCTCATCCTGGAAAGTCTGCGGGGTCCCCTTCTCCTGCCACCCCAGGAGAGCACTGTCTGTAGATCTGGGAACAAGGGCTGCACCAGGACCAGGTCACCGGGAACTGGGAGGGAAGCCGGGGAGAAGTGGAGCGACAGAGCTGGAGCGAGGAGGAGCAGCAGCAAGGGACAGGAAGCAGGTGAGGTCCCATGGAGTGTCACGTAGCCCAGCCCACAATCCCAGGCTGAGGGCTGTGGGTGAGGGGCACAGGGTCGAGGGCAGCCTCCTGGGGCAGGGCAGTGTCACTGGGACAAGGTACCCCAGGTAGCTGGCCCTAAGGGCATATGAGCAGAAGGCTGAAAGAGCCCCAGAGATGGAGGGGGTGCGGGTTCCTAAGGGGTCAAAGGGGGGACACTCTGGGCAGAGGGGGCAATGACAATGTCACCAGGACCTGCTGACTTAACACAGGAACCTGGCATGCAGTGCGACATGTCCCAGGGAAAGTGCCGCAGGCATAACTATCTTCTGTGTACTTTTTAGAAACCCAGCAGAATTAGAATTTGCCGGTAACTACAGTTTCAACTTCAATGCCACGATGTTTCCTTTGGTCAAAAACACATTAGGTCATTTTGCAGTTCAAAGCATTCAACAAATGGTAACAAGGCAGAGCCACCAGAAACATACACCTGATTTCCATGACAAATATGGTAATGTTATGTTAGTTGGTGGAGTGAGACAACCTGGGG